ACTGCAGTTACGCCCCTGGTCCGGAGGCACGTGCGAGCGGAGAGAATGGCACTCAAAGCTCTGCCGCTAGCCCCACGTTGGGCGCGGGACCCCCGAACAGAGATCTGCCAAGCACCTCTTTGTGTGATGACGACATGCTGTCCTAATGTAAGGAAATTAATGCACTTTTGTCTCTATTTCTGCCCAGGTCAGGAGCGCCTGCACAGGAATGCGCAGGCGACTGGGTCCTGATGAAGGAAACGAGACGAAAGCATTGGCGGTCCAAGCGTGGCTCGGCCCATTCCTCGCCTCCTGGTGACGGACACTGCCGTTAAGGTCGCGGAGAGGACAAACTTGGATCCACGCCAACCACTGTCGTGCGGTGCTGCCACTGAGGGCCATAGACGAGGACACGAGGGCGCGACGGACCAGGCCCATCCGCGGCTCCTACGCTGAAGAGGTTGGCGGCGTGCGGCCACCATCGGTGAAGCAGGCCAACAACAACACCAGAGGATCCCAGCGTTGCCGAGGCAACCCCCCTTTGCCCAACTCCCCAGCCCCCGGACCCAGGCCAACACCCAAAGCCGAGCACTTGCCCACCGAGTGCTGAGGCCAAGGCTTCAACGCAAGAGAGTCTTGCCGCTCCAAGACCAAACAGCGCCATGACATAACGCTCACATATGTCATAGGGAGGGTTGCCCCTGATGCCCAAGGCGGGCATGTGTCGACCGGCTGGTCCTGGACCACCTGAAAACGCGGTCTGTGGGCGGCGTATGCACGATCATCGGGTCGTCCTGAGTAACAAATATTCCGGCACGATGGGATCGGAGGTTTCTCAACCAGGCCATCGCCCACTTGACTAGGACTCCGGGACGCCATGCTAGCGGACAATGTACGGACACTCTCACGGTACTGGACTGGCCTCTGTCCTCCTGGCGAAGTGTGTCCATTATTTTGGTTTAGCTATTGACCGTTATGATTTTTATTTTCATGTGTATTACCCATGGTGTTTCGGGCCGTTGGTAAAATGATATCCATCACTTTGTGTCCATCAACACAGGAGGACCTGAGGCGGACCTTGGCCGCGGTCCACTGAACTCCGATCCTGATTATATCAGGATTGGACGACGACTTTGTCTAACGTTTTTCTTTCTTGTTTACTTTTGTTTTTATTTTTCCACTTGTTCCGCCCACAATTTAGGGGGAGGGTATCACAGCGAAGAGCTTTGACCACCACCCCCGTAATACAAGAGGCTTGGGTGACGGCGGGTAACCTGGCCATCAACAACTCTTTCTTTTATCAGGGGCCCAAGGTCAAATACTCGCACACTGAATGTGTTCTCTGTAAAACTGGGGTTTTTACATTCTCACGGGAAAAGGCAGTGTGATGGCAAGCGACTAGTATTCATGCAACCCTGCCTGTGTCTATTCATATGTTCATATGTCCCTGTTCCCAGGAAGGAGCCGGGCCCCCCCCCCCCGAACCTACAGACAATGGCGCAAATTCACTGTCCTCCCTTTCGCCTCTTGCATATCTATCGGTCTGTATGTGTGCATCTTCTACATCCTGCTGCCTGTCACACCATTGTGCCTTTCGCCTCTTGCATATCTATCGGTCTGTATGTGTGCATCTTCTACGTCCTGCTGTCTGTCACACCCTTGTGTCTTCCGTGTCTTGATCTGTATGACCTGCAATTAGACCATTGTCTGTCTGTTCGCACCTCGTTCCCAGACGGCGCAAAACGCTCCCATGCGCCTCTCACGGGTGGCCCCCCTTCCATCTGTTGTGTGCGGGGGTCGGGACTGGCTTTCCGTGTGTGTCTTGTAGTATGCAATTCATGATGTTTCTGGCCTGTTTTAAGCGTTTCAAGTGGTTTGCTGCATGAAATTCACTTTTACAACAGAATCAGTTCAAATACATAGAATCACAGTTGTTGGATGCCAGTATGCAATTCATGATGTTTCTGGCCTGTTTTAAGCGTTTCAAGTGGTTTGCTGCATGAATTCACTTTTACAACAGAATCAGTTCAAATACATAGAATCACAGTTGTTGGCTGCCAGTATGCAATTCATGATGTTTCTGGCCTGTTTTAAGCGTTTCAAGTGGTTTGCTGCATGAAATTCACTTTTACAACAGAATCAGTTCAAATACATAGAATCACAGTTGTTGGCTGCCAGTATGCAATTCATGATGTTTCTGGCCTGTTTTAAGCGTTTCAAGTGGTTTGCTGCATGAAATTCACTTTTACAACAGAATCAGTTCAAATACATAGAATCACAGTTGTTGGCTGCCAGTATGCAATTCATGATGTTTCTGGCCTGTTTTAAGCGTTTCAAGTGGTTTGCTGCATGAAATTCACTTTTACAACAGAATCAGTTCAAATACATAGAATCACAGTTGTTGGCTGCCAGTATGCAATTCATGATGTTTCTGGCCTGTTTTAAGCGTTTCAAGTGGTTTGCTGCATGAATTCACTTTTACAACAGAATCAGTTCAAATACATAGAATCACAGTTGTTGGCTGCCAGTATGCAATTCATGATGTTTCTGGCCTGTTTTAAGCGTTTCAAGTGGTTTGCTGCATGAAAATTCACTTTTACAACAGAATCAGTTCAAATACATAGAATCACAGTTGTTGGATGCCAGTATGCAATTCATGATGTTTCTGGCCTGTTTTAAGCGTTTCAAGTGGTTTGCTGCATGAATTCACTTTTACAACAGAATCAGTTCAAATACATAGAATCACAGTTGTTGGCTGCCTGTATGCAATTCATGATGTTTTTGGCCTGTTTTTTTTTTAAGCGTTTCAAGTTGTTTGCTGCATGATAATTTCACTTTTACAACAGAATCAGTTCAAATACATAGAATCACAGTTGTTGGCTGCCAGTATGCAATTCATGATGTTTCTGGCCTGTTTTAAGCGTTTCAAGTGGTTTGCTGCATGAAATTCACTTTTAAAACATAATCAGTTCAAATACATAGACTCAAAGTTGTTGGCTGCCATTATTGTTCTTGAAACGCTTAAAACAGGCCAGAAACATCATGAATTGCATACTGGCAGCCAACAACTGTGATTCTATGTATTTGAACTGATTCTGTTGTAAAAGTGAATTTCATGCAGCAAACCACTTGAAACGCTTAAAACAGGCCAGAAACATCATGAATTGCATACTGGCAGCCAACAACTGTGATTCTATGTATTTGAACTGATTCTGTTGTAAAAGTGAATTCATGCAGCAAACCACTTGAAACGCTTAAAACAGGCCAGAAACATCATGAATTGCATACTGGCAGCCAACAACTGTGATTCTATGTATTTGAACTGATTCTGTTGTAAAAGTGAATTTCATGCAGCAAACCACTTGAAACGGCTTAAAACAGGCCAGAAACATCATGAATTGCATACTGGCAGCCAACAACTGTGATTCTATGTATTTGAACTGATTCTGTTGTAAAAGTGAATTTCATGCAGCAAACCACTTGAAACGCTTAAAACAGGCCAGAAACATCATGAATTGCATACTGGCAGCCAACAACTGTGATTCTATGTATTTGAACTGATTCTGTTGTAAAAGTGAATTTCATGCAGCAAACCACTTGAAACGCTTAAAACAGGCCAGAAACATCATGAATTGCATACTGGCAGCCAACAACTGTGATTCTATGTATTTGAACTGATTCTGTTGTAAAAGTGAATTTCATGCAGCAAAACACTTGAAACGCTTAAAACAGGCCAGAAACATCATGAATTGCATACTGGCAGCCAACAACTGTGATTCTATGTATTTGAACTGATTCTGTTGTAAAAGTGAATTTCATGCAGCAAACCACTTGAAACGCTTAAAACAGGCCAGAAACATCATGAATTGCATACTGGCAGCCAACAACTGTGATTCTATGTATTTGAACTGATTCTGTTGTAAAAGTGAATTTCATGCAGCAAACCACTTGAAACGCTTAAACAGGCCAGAAACATCATGAATTGCATTACTGGCAGCCAACAACTGTAATTCTATGTATTTGAACTGATTCTGTTGTAAAAGTGAATTTCATGCAGCAAACCACTTGAAACGCTTAAAACAGGCCAGAAACATCATGAATTGCATATGGCAGCCAACAACTGTGATTCTATGTATTTGAACTGATTCTGTTGTAAAAGTGAATTTCATGCAGCAAACCACTTGAAACGCTTAAAACAGGCCAGAAACATCATGAATTGCATAATGCAGCAGTCCTGACAAGAACCAGGAAGTACGACCACATTAGTCCAGTCCTCAGGTCTCTGCAATGGCTTCCTGTGGCTCAGAGAATAGACTTTAAAACAGCTTTGCTTGTATACAAGTCTCTCCATGGCCTCGCACCAAAATATATTAGTGACATGTTAGTCCCATATGAACCAGCCCGGACTCTGAGGAGCACAGGGACTGGACTCCTGTTAGTGCCCAGAGTCAGAACTAAACATGGGGAGGCTGCTTTTCAGATTAATGCTGCTAAAATCTGGAACAGTCTTCCTGAAGATGTGAGACAGGCCTCCTCTCTGACAATGTTTAAAACCAGGTTAAAGACGGTTCTGTTTAACTGTGCATACAACTGAGGGATTTTATATTTTTATCTTTCTTTTTAATGTTCTGTGATAATTTATGATTTTAATGCTTTCTTGTTTTGTTCAGCACTTTGAATTGCCTTGTGTATGAATTGTGCTATATAAATAAACTTGCCTTGCCTTGCCTATGTGTTTTAACGGTTGATTCTCTGATCTGTGTTGGTGATTTCAATAGTTTTGTTAAGTCTCTGAGATGACTTCTGTTTTGATTTATACAAGAATAAATTGTATTGTATTGTATTGTCACCATGATAAAAAACTTGGTGGGGGTAGTCTCCTGCTGTAGCCATTGACAGTTGCCCATTGAACTGGTTAACTTATATCTATTAAGAGTCAAAAATAAGAGAATAGTGTCCATGTAACCGTCCTGTAGGTCCACTCTGTTCCCGTTGTTGTCATTAGTGCAGACGTGCCTCACATGAGTCCTGGGCACCTGCTCCACACTCAGAGCAGAACAGTCTGGATCTGGGCAGGTGTCCCGGCCCCTGATGAGGTGACGCCCAGGGGCCCGCATGCACACAGCACTTACCTGGGCTGCACAGGGGGTGAGGGGGGTGGCAGCCTGGCACCCAACAAACACCCAGCTGTGTCTCAGGGTCACCCGCAGGACAGGCCAGAGGTCAGCCTTTACTATAACTGTTAAATCTCCTATTTCAATAACAAAACACGAGAAGCTTGAAAGTTTTCTATAATACAGGTTTTATGTAAGTTTTATGTCCTACTTGTGTCTATATATGTTTTATGTCTTGTAATAATGTCTGCTTGTAGAAATTATGTTTTGACGAATCAGGAGCTGTTTGACAAAAACAAGCCACAGCCACCGTCTTCTGAGGTCAGTGAAAGAATTACAAAAGTGATTCAAATGTGATGATCATGGAGAATGTTTACAGCTGTTATATCTGACTACCATAGATAGGTCTCCACAGCCCGGTCTATGATACAACAGGCTAAGAGGTTCAATAAAGACAATTTCACTTTCATATGTTTTGTAAGTAAGTAAGTAAGTAAGTAATCTTTATTTATATACCGCCTTTTCACTGCAGATCTGAGTCTCAAAGCGGTTTACAATTGTTAATTTTTTGGGCATTTGTCTCTCACTCCACACAGAGATGGGAGCGGGGCCAGTACAGGAGGCGCATGCTAGAACTATTGTACATATTTTTAGTGGTAGGGGAAACCGGAGCACCCGGAGGAAACCTACGCAGACACGGGGAGAACATGCAAACTCCACTCAGAAAGGCCCTGGTCCGACCGGGATTCAAACCCAGGACCTTCTTGCTGAGAGGCGAGAGTGCTATCCACTCAGCCACCGTGCCGAGTGGATAGCACTGGGTTTTGAAAACAAATGAAAGTGTCCTAATTGTTGACCCTGTGCCACTGGGAGAACATCCAGAGGAGTCCAACTTTGACCCTCAGGGCTGGATAAGAAATGAAAGGAAAATGAAATGGAAAGGTTGTTTGGCCCCTTAATCCTACCAAGATTTACCTTTCCAGTTTTCAGTGAGCCATTATCTACCTCAGTTTTAAGCTGCAGAGTGTCCTGTGTGTGTGTGTGTGTGTGTGTGTGTGTGTGTGTGTGTGTGTGTGTGTGTGTGTGTGTGTGTGTGTGTGTGTGTGTGTGCGTGTGTGTGTGTGTGTGTGTGTGTGTGTGTGTGATCTGTGGTGACTCCTATCTGCTCGTTTCTCGCTTCTCTCCAGAAGAAGTGCTTGTGGATTTGATGAACAATTTTGAGTGTGCAATCGCTCCGACATGCATCCATTTGTTTTAAACCAGTGCTTCTCAAACTTATTTTGCGTGCCCCCTTTTGAGATCCATGGCAAACATTGTTAATGCCCCAAAGCTGACATGAAGTACCGTCCCCTGGTTTAAGACAGAACAAGCAATTTGTGCCTTGAACTCAATACGTGTATAAGAGAGCTTGATTTACTTTACAGTTTAATTTTAAATTTACACAACGCAACCTTTGCAATCAACCGATAGTGACCAAAGCACGGCCTCTGCAGTATGTGTACTTTCATATTGTATTGTTCTGACATGAAACCCTTTGCTCAGTCTATGTTATAATGTACAATCCCTCTATGAAAGAAGTATGCGCAGCCCTGCTCTGAACTGCTGAAATCACAATCACATTGTTTTCTCTGTCAGTCCTTGTCAAAGCGCTCAGTGAGGAGGGGGCTGCAGCCGACCCACGGGGAGGGGGCTGCTGACAGTGACCGTCTGCACTGTCTCAGCTCCAGATGTTCTCCTCACACTCTGTAATCTTCACCAGGAAGAGGGCGTGTCCCAATGGCCCTGGCCCCGCCCCCTTCTCACTCCTTTCACTCGCTGCTTTGCAAGTGTGGAAACTGGATTTGTTTACGTTGTTTTCATCATTCAAGTGAATGATTTTGAGAAATGCAGATTTTCTTCCTGTGTCAGTGTTATTACTTGAAAGAATGACAAATTAAAACAGGACATAATGTTTTAAAAAGATCCACTATAGATCACAAATTCAGAGGATAAAACAGTGGGACCAGCAGTATCTTGGGTATATATAATAATAATAATAATAATACATCTATATTTGTATTATTTTATTGTTTGTGCACATTCAGCACAAACAATAAAAACAGCCAAGTCAAAATAATACAAAGTCAAAATAATTAAAAGGTATATACATGTAGGAGGTGGATCATCAAGACTATTGGTCCTCCCAATTGTCAATCAATCATGTGCTTTGTTCAAAAATGTCAGGGTGAATGAGTGTGTGTTTGTGAGTGCGACTGTGGGACAACAGATGTGTTCATTAACATGTACTGTCCCAACCAAACAAACAAACCATAAATAAATAAAGTGGAGAGGGCGGTTCTTTCCTAAAATGTAGGAAAATCCTCCAGAGGACTGTACCTGTTAACAGTAGATACAGGAAAACAAAGCAGACAGAGGAAACACAACAAGGAAGACAAAACAAAGAAGACGTCCCCATCGTGTGAGCAAAATCTATAGAAGCCAATTCGAGCATCATGGTTGCAAAGGCAAGCTGGAGATTCCCCCGGTTAAGATTTACAAAGACAATATAAGAACTAGGATTATAGAGAGCGCTAAACCCAAACTAGTGAGTGTGACGCAAACAGTAACTGAGTCAATAGGAGCTAGGATGTTAGCATTGTCCATATACAGTCTAGGGTTGTGAGAGAATATGGATTTGTCTGCTTAATGACAGAGTGAAGGTGGAGGCCTGGAGGCGAGGAGGTCAGAGGGTCAGGATGCACCTTCTCTGACAGGACGTCCCACTGGCCCTCACTCATCACTGGCCCCTGTCTGTGTCTGTGTGGGGCCCGTGTCCACTCTGCACCTCACTGTCATTACTGCTGTGACGGCACTCAGGACGGCTGCTAAACACAATCTTTTAACAGACAATTTGATTAGATCGGGGTGAGAAAAAAGGGACCAATAAGTACAGTAACTACAGTCAGAAATGCCTGCAGACCAATGGAATACAAAAGACAGAGACATGTCTAAAGTGCAGCCTGAGTGATGCCCTGTTCCCCTCTCCTCGCAGTTACCTCAGGACCCCCCCCCCCACATCAGCCGGCCCCCTCTCCATCAATTGACCCCCCCACAGAGCTCCTCTATGTAACAATAATGTCATCTGTCCACAGGCAAATCATAAACACATGCACACAGCACTTTTCATCCGTCGTGGTAGAAATTCTGCGCTTACGTCAGTGGAACAACGGCGAAGGGTTTGTGAGAGCGCGAAGACGGAGAGACGAGAGGGGGAGAGGGGGAGAGGGGGAGGTGAGCAGCAGGTGAGGCTCTGGTTACGCAGGACTTTCAACAAACGCAAGCAAGAAGTTTAAGTTTAAGTCTGTTGACAGCACAGAGGAAAAGACCAGGGTTCCTTAAACCTGTGAATAAACCGCACAATCTGAAGGTGAAAAGAAAGTTGTTGTTGTTCACATGTTGTAATGAAACAGCAGCTGATGGAGCAAAACAAAACTGTTTTAACTGGACACATGATTTAATGACACAGTGTCGAACGCACTGTCGACTTGTGAGAATCCAGAGAGGGGCGCTCTAACAAAATAAAAATTCTTGGGTTTCATATGACGTCAGGGCAGTGGCGCGAATAACAATAACAACAATACACGGAGATATAGTAGAAGAAGAAGCGCTGTCAAAATGCCGTCTTTTTGTGCGGTGTACGCTTGTAGCAACCGCACAAATAGAGAGAAAGACAAGAGTTTGTTCACGTTCCAACTGTGGTCTCATATAAAGGACACTTTGAAAACATCACTGGAATGAGGCGGGCGAGGTGGATCAAGGCTTTCCCAGATAAGCATTTTTTTTAAATGCCCGAAATCAAGACTCTTTTGAGAAATATTTGTTAGTGCTCCCTTAGAATTGAGTGTCCCCGATTAAGACTGTTCCAACAACCGTACACCGCACAGGAGGAGAGCCTTTTGACTAGGGATGTACCGATCCGATATTCAGTATCGGTATCGGGGGCCGATATGGGTATTTTGTAAGGATTTACGTCACTTTTCAACAGCTCACGCTTTACGGCTGCCGTAAACTAAATACAATGTAAAACTAGGGCTGGGCGATAAAATGACAACGAGATATATTGTGATAGACACGTGTTCGATATCGATAGAAGGTTAGTTTAACGTCACTCCGTTAGAAACAACAGGACGAAAACACAGGAAGTAAAGCCGAGTCAGAGGCGCGCAGCATTCTGGGGGATGTAGGCATAGGCTTCTCGACCTATCTCAGCCAAGCGTCAACCGCAAAACTTTCTGGGAAATGCATAAACAACAACAGCACAATGCGTAGCGTCCATGGATCTAAAGATTGTTTTTCAATGCCGTGTCAATGGTTCTGCACGTCCGTGCGAGGCATAGCATGTGCAGCGCGGGAGAGGCAGTGGACGGTGCCACAGAGACCCGGTGCATGCGGCGACAGCAAGTGATGAACTTTTTCCTCCGTGTGGCTATCAGAGAGCGGCCGCACAAAGCCGCCATGGGGACACAAAAGAGGAGATAAACCAGGACTAAACCAGGATTAAACCAGGACTAACTATGGGGGAGACTGCTTGTGAACATATTCCTTGAGCCTCATTCCCTGTGACTGTAAACAGGGCTGCTAACGTGTGTTAGCCGACACGACAAACGTATTTATTCAGGTAAAATTGCAAATTCTTTAATGCTTTGAAAATATTAGAAAAAATGGTATTGGATCGGTATCGGCAAAACAATATTTAAGAATATCGGAATCGGATTACAAAAATTCTGGATCGGTACATCCCTACTTTTGACTCCAAAACAGACTTTACATGGTTTTCAATGGGAGCTAAACTGAGTTGCCCCACCTCTGCTCATTCGCCCCCTACTGGCCAGTTTCATGAAACCCAAGAATACCTACATTGGGGCACTGAAGGTCTAAAATAAATACTTGGGTTCCAAACTGAAGTAAAAGATTGAAGTTGTGATTCCATGAATACAATCAAAAACAAATCTAAGCTAGTGATAGATTACTGCTAGTTGTAATATGTGGCTGACTGATTCACTATGGAGGCCAAAATAAAGTGTTTGGTGAAGATTCAAAGGATTATGAAATTAATTTGAAGATGTTTTAATCCAATTTGTGATATTTCTATTTCACAACCACATTTTAGTGTCTGATTACACAGTTCAGGCCTCAATAATAATACTTTTTAAAGTATTTGAAAAAGAATCACAAGTTGAAATGACTAGGAATGTCCCACACTAACCTATCTCCCCCAAAACCTCCCACCGAGCCTCCCCCTGTTTGTGTTCTGCATCATCAGTCCCAAGTATGCACGACCTCCACAAAGAACACACACACACACACACACACACACACACACACACACACACACTGTAGCACTGGATAAAAGTTTTAGAAAGCATGAAAATATGACCACTTTATACAGTAAAAAACACAATAATAATAAAAAGTGGTTTATACTGAAGGGATCACAGTGTTAATCTATGTGTGCTTCATCAAACTCAATGCCTGCTTTAAAACTGTAATTTAGGGGAGTAGGAGCACTGCCTTTATCTTCCTTGGAGCCCCCTTTTCACACTTCTTGCTAATCCCAAACAAACTTCACGCAGCTGTCAGAGCAGGGGTCTGGGAGATAAGGCCTTTGTGGCGAGTCGTTTCAAAGGCCGTGTTGTGAAGTTGGGCCGCAGATTACTCGCTCTTATCTGCGAGAGTTTACAGAGAGATAGTCAGGCCTGAAGGATCAGACGCACCCAGAGGACAGAAGAAGAAAAAACAAGTGTCCGCCAGGCTTTCATCCTCCGCACAGAGCAGCACTGCGGGGGTCAAAACGCTTAAACACGAGAAGAGAGTAAGGACTGGTCTATTGTGTTGATAGTGGTGCAAAAATCCCATAGACGAAGCCCATTTCAATATGCTGCAGTGAGGTGGGGGTGGATGGTCTCGGTGAAGAAGAAGTGCTCACTAATGCAGATGTAGATGTGTGGTTAACAAGATTTGAGACAATGCGGCGTATTCCCAGAAGTCTTCCAGCCGTGATCCCTCAGTTTTCCAGCTGCCTGTTCTGGAGGTTATAAATATAGACTTTTAAACCGAGCTCTTGGAATAATCAATGACTCTTCTGGCCACCCTGGAAAAGCCATGTTCCAGCTTCTTCCCTCTGGCAGAAGATATCGTTCTCTGAGATGCAGGACATCTCGACATGCTAACAGCTTCTCCACAAGCTGTTATCAGTTCGAACACAGCACTTTAATGATCTTAACTTTGTATTGAAACTGTTTTAGTCGATCGATTTCACAGTGTCAATGGTTTTTATTTTGTTTTATTTCTGTACTTTTAACCTTGTTTTATGTATGTACTTGCCTTGTGCACACTGGGGACTTTTGCAAATGTATTCCAATGTGGTTTCACTGCAAACTTGTAAACGTCCATGGATGTTTTAACACTTTGAAGCAACCGTGGCTAAAGCTGAAATCTGCACAAGCCAGTGAATTTCCACTTGGATGTTTTGGTTTTTCTGAATCCCGAGGCTCCTGGCACCGTGGCAGCTGCTGATTGGACTGTCAATGAGTCCTCCATGGTATAATATCACACACACTCAGCAATTCTTTGGTCGTGTCTTTGCAACATCCAAAAATGTCTTCTGTGGTTGCACACAACCCCAAACCCCCGCCTCGTTTGTCGTTCTCTTCACGTCTTTGGCAGTCATTCAAGCAAACATCAACTTGACTAAATTTACCAAGCATTCA